AAAAAAAAATAAAAACCAGAGAAAGCAACTCTTGTCACTTGCTGGCAGGAAGCACATCCTCAAAATTAAAAAAAAAAAAAAAAAAAAATCAAGTAGGGCAACAGGGAGGCCTAAATTTTGTGGGTAAGAAGCTACAAATAACAGCACATCTTTGAAACCACCATCATTTATCATTTTACCTCCACTGGATTTTCCAGTCTCTTCTAATGAAACCAGCTCATTGTTAGTAGTCTTTGTAGTTAAGCTAACGACATAGTCTAACAGTGATGTGGTCTCAATCTTGTCAACCTCTGTGGTGATCCCTCTGCATCTAGGTTAAGGCATCTTGTGTACACATCAAGCCATAGAGCGTTGTTCACACAGCACTTTTCCAGATGGTGCTGAAAAATACCTTGTACCTAAAAGCAGTCCTTTCTGATTTGGACAAACCACTGGAACCTCCTCCCTCCTCCCTGTCCCAGATTTCCTTCAACATAACATTTAAGTAGGCATGGGAAAAGGTAGAGCTGAAAATAATGCAGAGAATGTCATGTAGAGTTGTTTTTGCTTGCAGGCTCTGGCCCCACAAGTTGAATCTACTTGCTCCTGTGTGACTAAGCAAGTTTGCATTCCCTCTCTCCTCATCAGGCAGGCATAGCTGTATGTTTGAGCTTCCCCAAGCATGTGGTCTGCTTCGTCTTAACACTCCTTGAAGAGCTAACATAAGAGGACATTGTGGTCCATTGCAGACCTGACCATGCACTGGGCTGTCCTGCTTGTGCTGTGGCAGAGGAGGTCCCTCAGCACACTCTGAAGCTGCCCTGATGGTGCTGAGGTTCACAGGTACCTCTGTCCAGTAGAAGGTATGAAGTGCATCCAAAATACTGACATCGCCAGAGATGTATGTGCCTACAGTCTTGTTTTAGCCAACAGAGCAGGGCTGATTTGCAGCTGGGCGAGCACACATTTTCAAAATGTACTTGGTAGTATGGAGACCAGAATTTCATTTGCCTCAATACCCAAGCTCAGGAAACAGACTGAGTAAAGAATAGCCCAACTGAGTATGTATTTATTTTACTTTGTCCACTTTCAAATATCTGCACTGTAAACTAGGACGTTCACTTCCTCTCATTTTGCACAGCAAAGCTACTCTGAATCCTGCAGGAAGCCAACTCTGTCCCAAAGGTCCAGCTTGCACCCCCAAATCATCCCGTGTGCACTTGCAGTGGTTACCTCCTGAAGCAGGACGGTTGGATACTGACTCATTCATAATTTTTTTGCCTCACCTGTTAATGAAAAAGGTGGAGATAGAAGTGCATGAGGTAAATCCTAACACGGAATTGAATTGTGTGAAGTGACAGTATGGGGAGTTCTGATGTCCCCACAATACACACTGAAGCTTTCCTGGGGCTTTTCTGCCCTTGCAGTCGGAGATGCTTTGATGAACGGGTGAGTACTCACCACTTTAGTGAGGTTAATTTAAATCTGAGAACACGGGTATGAAAAGCCAAGAACTTGACGAACATCATCTTGTTTGTTTAGCGGGGTTCACTTAAACCTGAAAGCACGAGTATGAAAGCCGGGAACTTGACGAGCATCATCTCGAGGGATCAGATCCAACGCCCCGTAAACCAGAGACCCACACCGTGGCCACCCAGAGAAGACGGTCCCTGGTCTGGGAGGGCAGGGCAGGGTGTGGAAGAGGATGTCTCCCCAAATTCCCCAGTTCAGATCGGCTCGGGGG